TTACATATATATGTTAACTTTATGCATATATATATATATATATATATGAACTTTATATTAATAAACATATATATATGTATATATAAACATTGATGTTATTAATATGTCTTGTGTATAGATAATTAGATATGTGTATGAAAATATATAATGTACGTGGCTTGTGAGCTATCATCATAGTTGGTAAGCACTTGCTAAGTCAAATGAACATCCAAGTGAGCAGTTGGGTCAAACTAACTCCGTGAGTTGGTGAATGGTGAGAAGTGGAATACTAGGCTGACAGCTGGCAGTGCATCACTTCCAGGGTCTCGACCCAGTTACTATGTATGCCGTCCTGGACAAAGCCCAAACCACTCTCTAGCGCCTCGGAAGAGTGGGGATGTGTCTAGAAGATGACGTGTATTTATACCAGAATTATCTATCTATCTGCTATCTATCTCTCTATCTCTCTATCTCTCTATCTAATCTATCTTTCTATCTATCTTTCTATCTATCTATCTATCTATCTATTTGAATCCATTTGATTATTTGTATTGTTCTATATTCTTATGTACTACATCTCAAACCAGGACATTAGCACATCATTAGCAGCTGCTCATCCCAGGCTGGGAGAGGATTCTCCTCGGATGGCGACGATTCGTGTCACGATGATGGGACATGTGATACGTCATGGAAAATCCCAACCATAAATGGAGGTTTAGTTCGCTGGGAAAATCATCCATAAATGGGCCATCTATACCATGGCTATGTTAAATAACCAGAGGTTATATATATATTTATATATAATCTGGTTGGTGGTTTCGATTCAACCCCTCTGAAAAATGATGGAGTGAGTTCGTCAGTTGGGATGATGACATTCCCAAGATGATGGGAAAAATGAAAAATGTTACAAACCACGAACCAGTAAATGAATGTGAGGTGTGCAATGACATGTTAACTGTCATGAATGTGCAAACCTCTATGTCACTTCTTGTGCAGCACTTGCTGCTGGCTTCGCATGAAGCACTTGAAATGATCACTAATCTGACAACACTGCAGTCTCTCTTCCCAAGAATAGGACGATCTTCGGGTTCTAGCATGGTCTAGCTACATAAAATTCTATCATGTTGCACATGAGAGTCATCATAGCTTGTAAAATCAAATTTAGTTTATTGCCATGTTTAATGACACGGGAGGGTAAATCACATCTTCACATGTATACTGTCTTGCCTATATAAATACCTTGGACGTGTTCATCTGATACCACTCTCAATAGCCATGCATTAGCGGGCAACATTAGCTGGGTGACATCGGCCTTTCATTTGTTAACAGCGTTTTTCCTTCAGTCGATCTTGGGGAACACACTCGCGAAATCATGCGTATGGGTCTTTGGTTGTTTTTGAGTCCCCAGTTGCAAGAAACCACCGTACAAACTCAAGATATATATATATATCCTCCGGTCATTAAATGTGGCAATTGACACTTCCCATGTATATAATATGTGTACACATATGACTTTCATTGATTTTCCCATTTAAGCCTCCATTTACAGGGCTTTCCAATTGCCATCTTTGACGAAGTCGCTACCAAAGGGTGGTATCACATTTCTGCGTCCCAGAGCATTGTTTCCTGGAGATGGACGAAGTAAAATTCATCACCCAATCCAACGCTTCGGAAGACCTCACTGATCCGTTCAATACTCTCCGATTGTCATATTTGAAAAAATTGAAAACTTTCACTCTTACTTATCATTTGTTATTGTAAGTGTTATCTGACAAATGTCATGCAAATGTAAATTCCAGACATATCCTTCAATATTCAAAAACAATTTGGTTGTGGGCAATCCCCAGACCACCAGACGTCAAGGCACCACTTCTGGAATCAAATCATCCACCTCCGAGGTCAATGAGGTCCCAAAAATGGTCCCAAAAATGCATAGATTCCATAGATCCCTTCCCCCCCAATATGAAACACGCCCTCAGAAACCATGGTTCAGTACGGGATTTCCACATTCCATTGGGACAATTTAGGTGATGCTCAATGTTGGGGGTGGGATTAGATCCAAGGTCAAATCAAGGCCTTCAGGGGTTTAGGGGTTTCATTGGTGTGACATATAACGTGGTAGATGGGGTATGGTCATCCCACTGTCTTGAACACGATTCCTTGTTTCATGGGTATTTTCATGGGGGTGATGGCATTTTTTGCTGATGGGTTTCCAAAAACCATGTAACTGGCCCGTGGCACATATCAACACGATTCATAAAAATCCATCAACATCCACTAAATTCAATTGAAGTCCATTCAAATCCACAAATGTCCATTAAAATATATTAAAATCACCCTAGCTGTGGTCAAGTCCTTCATTTTGGCCAACCGATAATTCTGGCATACGTCAAAGCATACGCAACTCTTACGTTTTCCAAGGTTTGCTTGCGTTCAAGCTTCAACAAGGATCTTGCTTATGATTAGCTTGTGACAAATGGCTGTCAAAATTACTATAGTACTATAGTCTATAGTATTCTATTATTCTTAGTTGAGGTGCTTGCTTACACAATGAAAAAACGAGACAGGACGAAGGCGCGCACAAAAGAGTTGGCGGTGCAAGTCTTAGTAGACACCTCTACATATTTATTGGAGCCCAGCTGTCATGACATTGCATGAACTTGTATCAATTCCTCTTACGCTTCGCTTGCGACACAAGACTTGTTGAAACAACTTACGGCAAACTTTAGAACTCGATGAAATTAAATCATATAGTCTCAATATCAAAGATCATGAAATTCATTTTATATAGTTTTCATATCAAACATCATGTTACAGCAACATCGTTGATTTTTCTATGGTTTTCAAGATCACCGAAGCTGCCATGGTTTTTTTTCTCCAGTTCCAGGCTATAGTTCCAGGCCTTGACCCCATGCTGAATTAGCCGTGAGGCGACGGAGACCTAGGCGGCGAGTTGTGAGGGACTTCGAGGGTTAAAACAAAAAAAAAACGATGGGACGCTGGACTGAGGGATTTTTAGAAAGACATCTTATAAGACCATTTATATAGATGGAATTCTTAAAGACCATTTATATATAGACCATATAATTAGAACATCTAATAAGATCATTTTGCACATGTAGATTTTAGATGATTTTAGATGGAGTTGTCAATTGTCTTTATGGCGAAAACATGGGACGTAAGGGATCTAATACCCAGAACTTTTTTGTGACTTTGGGAAGCAAAAGACTTGGGAAACGAAAACAACGAAACTCGTTGTAGCAAAGAATTTCTGAGAGAAGACCCGATGAAACAGGGGGGGTTAACCCACAAGAAATGGATAGAAATGGGATTCAACGAGCGATTTAACCAAGATAACAACAGAAATGGTGGGTTTAACCAAAGAAAAAATGGGATTTAAGCAACAAGGCATCAACACATCAAGGACCACGGTTTGTGAACCAACAAAACACAAAAGAACATGTTCAACAAAAAGATGCGAGGATAAACTGACAAACATGGAGTGATAGAACCTACAGTACAAAACCTGAGAAAGGAATATATGATGGATGTTTAGGGCCCAAAGTCAAAGAAGTAAGCCCAGAAGGAATCAACATTTACCTGCACTGCACCCAATTTCGAACACGGGTCAAAACTGTTCATCCTGAGAAGATAACTATCCTAAAATAGCTTGAAAGAAAACGCATATCAACTGGTTTACTCAATGTGTAATTATGTATATATAACTATGCTAAATAATTAAATCTAAACAGAAATCTCTTTCATTGCAAACTTGGATGATTTTATAATCCTCAACATTGAACTTGTCAGTTGCAAGGAGTGACACATAAAACCCTCACTTCAAGTTTCATGGTGAAGATCTCATGTTCAAAATCCCTCTATCATTCCATTGAATCCTGGTTGGTTGAGAAAGGGATTCACTGTTCTTGGATTAAAACAACATTCCCGATATATGAAGGGTAGTATCCCCGAACTAATCATCAACCAACAGGGGTAGATCGCAGCCACTGCTCATTTGGCTTCGAACAAAAAAGTGCCCAAACGGGAAACATGGTCCCAAGTCCCAAGTATTCCAATGACATTGGGATGTTGGAGTTCAATTCCGACCCAAGTCATACCACATATGAATATATTCGAGTTTGTTACTTTCCGAATTTTGATGCTGAAATAAATGACTCACCATTTGAATATATTTGGTCAACTCCCCAGGCTGCAGGTCATAAGTTGTAAGTTTGCTATGGTTTTCTTGTCTTACTACCCCTTGTATATCTGGCTAAATGTAAGTCACTAACCAGCATATCTGGAGCACTTTGGGATGGTGCCAATGCTGGTTCGGGAATCCCATGCAGTATGATCATCCCCAATGGATATCAATAAATAAAGACTAAACCCCGAGCGGCCTGTCAACCAACAAACAGCCGGGCTTTGAAGACTGCAAAACAAACAAGGGCCATAATTTCATAAGCCCCCAAAAAAAAGGTTGTTGCTGAGAATCTGGTGATATTTCTGATCGCTTTCTGCAGATTCTGAGTTTCCGCGCTGGCGACGGCTCATTCTCTTTGGTCGCATTGAGTTTCCTCACCACTTGCATGTAGATTCTCCCCCAATGGTGGCACCCCCAATATCTCATTCCAATTTTTGGGTGTAGAAGACTGAAAATACGTGAACAATTACGTGAACATACCTTTGATTCCGAAGGTGTGGACATAGCTCTCTCCGTTTAGAATTGTCTCCTACATCTAGATTATCCGATTTGAAAAAAATCTGGGTCTGTCTAACATTGTAAACCCTCAAACCTGGAAAAAATTCAATGGATTCAATTAAGGTCACGTCCTATTCCAATTCATTTTACATTATTTTCAAGTATTCCCCAGAAAAAAAAAGGCTTCCCGGCTTCCCCAAACATGATTCCAGACTATCCAAGAAGGTTGAGCTTTTTCATTTCCTTCCTCTACTACCCTGGCGGTTTTGAAGGCAACTGGAAAGGAAGGGCTGGATGACTTAATTGGGTATAATTGGGGTTACCCCCAGGGACCACCTGATTTTAGGATCCCGCGCCACAGGGAGAAGCGATGCTTCTGCTTCACTTGCAGAAAGCCATCAGCCTCGATGAAACGGCCACGGCCAGGAGAGTTGGGTGAAGCTTCTGACATTCAACCGCTCTTCAAACACAAGTGGTTCACTAAGAATTGTATGTATATAAATTATATAAACATATTATATACATATATACACATATACATAATTTGGTAGCAACTGAACATGCAAGCAAAACGAAGATCAGCGCTACTTTTACCTTACAGGGCATGGTAATCTACAACTCGAGAAGAAAGCTACGCAGCATGCAAAAGGTGAACTAATGGACCCAGGTACCAAAGCAGTCGGGTGTGATCATGGTTGTACCCCTGTGGCATAGATTAAATCCGTATGGCATGTCATGAGGTGTGTGTCTGTGCATGCACGTGTGCGCTGTCATCGATGCATTGGAATCGATGTTCGTGAATCTGATGTTTAAAGCTGAAGATACCAATCATGGCGTTAAGAATTTCACTTCTGGAGATACTACCTTTGGTCATTCCATCAGCAAGCATATCACGGGTGTCACACCAAGCACAGTGCGTTGGCGCGCATTTCACAACATCACGAAGCCAAGCAATATGGGGAAACAATGATTTCTCTGAAGGCAGTTTCAATGACGTTCCAGTCCAAGCTTGAAAGAGGTTCATGGCATCTATTACAAGGATTACTTTGAACTCTGTAGAACATCCTTCTCTAAATGCTCGAAGCTCTGCTGGGGAAAATGGACCGCGTATGATTTCACTTGTTGAAATTACCAAAGGGATAAGCGCATCTGCCGTTCCAACCGCCGCCAAAGTCTCCGAGCTGAAAGTACTTCTTGTGACTAATTTCAAACTCTGACTCGTGGCGTCAATTAGATGGCAACACTCTTGATCGTTTCTTATGCCACACCTGAGGAACACGGTTCCACGAACACCGTACCCTTTCGATTCTAATTCTTTACAAAAGGATGCATCTGAAAAGGCGATGATTTTGCGGGCACACTTCATGGCTGGGTACACAATCACTGCCTTCTGTTTCTGGAGCACTTTAAGCAGTGAGTTCAGTTTTCGGATATGTTGATATTGAGGCTTGTGCGTTTGGCGTTGCAAGGCTATTATATATATGGCTACCCAATGCTGTGTCAGCAGAGTGTAAGCGACAGCTCCAAGCAATGACCAATACAGTCTCATCACAACGTCAGTGCAAGGTTCATCCATTGGCTTACCGGTGATGTCTGGGTGTTGAATAGGTTTAAGGGCACTAATATATTCATTTTGGTCGAGAGTTATAGTGCCATCTGGACTTCGGGTGTGTCGAATACCAACACATGTGAAATTATTATTATTTCGGTCACTTTTGCCAAAGGTTTTCTCTAATGCTTGCAACAACAAACGGACTTCTCTTTCTTCGCCAGCTATCTTAAGATCGTCCACATGCTTTACAAGGATTAGAACTAATTTGCCATTGACGTGTTTGACTTCGCATTCAGGATCGGCAGCTAAGGGTTTGAGTCCAACTTCTGCACTACGAGTCACACCTGCAAGTTTCATGCTGAAGGCTCGGGGCGCATCCTTGCATCCTGTGCCAGGTTTTAGACACTTAAGAACATAATACCTTTCGTCATAATTTTCATACCCAGGGATGCGACGAAGGATCTGAGCAGAGCCACTAGGAAGCGTAAAGTGAACCACACGTTCCTCTTGGCCTGTGGCTTCTGCAAGCTCATCATAAGTTACGCCTTGTAGGAAAGCCTTATTTATGTCAAGGGACAGGAAGGACCATTCAGGGTGACAAGCTGCTTCTGACAGGAGCAGGCGCTGCGATATTTTGGATCCAGTTCCAGCATAGGTATCCAAAGCATCTGCACACCACTCTTTAAATCCTCTTAGTGCCATTCGCATTCGGATTATTCTGCTTTCATATGGTTTGGTTGGGTCTTTTACTTTCCATTTAGCAACAAACCTAGAATCAATGATGTTAACTGCACCTTTACGGGGAACCATCTTAAAGCAATTGTAACTGTTCCAAATCTTTAGTTCCTCAAGGATAGCAGCTTCGACTTGCGGCTTATGACGAACCATCTCTTCTTTGGTCAATAAGTCTGAAGCTCTTTTGATGACTTCCACCTTGCTGACAGTGTTGTAGATTTTGATGGAATACATTTCATCCAGTGCTAGATGGCTTGGGTCACCAAAACAATTACTTATGTTTGGGAGGACTAAAAGTTCGGTTATATGTGGTTCATCCGGGTCTAATTCGGGAGGACTACTGGGATTATTAATTGCATCATGTTCATAGTATGGATCTTCGGGGCTTACATACACCATTGGGATTTCTTCCACAGGCGGTTGTTCGGCACATTGCTCGATGGTGTCCTGGTGCAACATCCAAAGGTCATGAAGTGCTGCTTTCTCTTCATCACCCGCAGGCTTGTCAAAGTGCTTGGTTATAAATGCATGGAATACTCCCTCAGGGTTATCGGAATTCTGATCATCTTCATTGGAGCCTTCTGGAATGGTGGACAGACGGTCGCTGGCAGCATCAGGGATGACAGTCTGGCCATGATTTTCTTCCCCGTGGCTGGCGGCTGTTGCATCAATGCTGTCACACAATCCAGAGGGATTTTCATTATTATGAATCAGTTGAACAAATGAGGTGTTATACCAGTCATCTCCCATTATTTCGGTGAGCTGCATATTGGTGCTTTCTGCGACGAAAACATGTGGTTCAGTCATGTGCTTGTCATTCCAATACAGCAGTGTTGAATGGGTCGCATTTGGCATGGCTGGCAAGGATTTGCAGCCTTTGCCAATGCGGACTGAGTTGCATTCATCAAAACACCATGCATACTCGATCAGGTGGTTCAGAGCTTCCAACAAATGTCCATGTGACCTGGTCGCTTGTGATATACTGCTTTCACCATTTTCTTGGGATATCAAACCAAGTGTGACAAACTTTCGGGGTTGCAGTTCTTGTGTGAATCTTTTAACAACTGACAAGGCTTCTTTTGTCGGCATTGTCACAAACACTTGGAATGACACATGAGCGAACAGTGTGTGTCGGACATCTTGCAATCGACATGGTCTGGGCTGACCATTGAGTCTAACTAGAACCGTGCCATCTTCTGGTTTATATTCCACAACTTCCACAGGACCACGCCAACCTGAGACATCTTTGGTGGTTGGCCGATGATAATCAACAAGGTCACCATCGAATTCATGTCTGGTGCGATGGACACACATCGACTTCTTCTGGCAGTGGAGGCAACATAGCAGGCGTTCGTCCATAGATACATTGATAGGGTGTCACTCCTCCTACGTGCACTAAGGAATTTCCAGCGAACACTGCTTCTGCAAGTAAATCTTCCATGTTGGAATTGATTCCTTCTCTGATCAACTGACTATCCAAACAGTGCAGTGTCACTCTGAGGATGGCTCCTCGTCTCTCAATGAATCTGGCATGCTGACCTGGTGCCCTCACCTTTACAAGTGTTCCTTGCCTTTTCAGCTGGGCTTGCACTCGGTCGGAGGTCAAAGCCGATTCGCCATCGGTGATGAGCTGCTGCATGGGTCCATGGATGGACATCCAGATGCGATTCAAGGCTGTCAGCAGTTCCTGTTCTTGCTTGGTCTGGACGACAGTAGCTGCATGCCAGCGAGTTCCACAACAAATTAAATGGAAAATGACATGTTCTCGATAAAACATCAAGTCTGCTTCAACATGCTCATTGAAGGCGGTAGTCATCCTCAATGTTGGAATAGTTTCATTTGCAGGTCTAGCCCACTTGCGGCATTCTCGACAAGTATCTACTACCTGAGGGATCTTATCTAGCACTTCTTTTGGCAAGCCAGCTGCTGATAAAACACGTTTCATAGCTTCTTTGCTCCCATGCCACCATCTTAGGTGAAGTTTTCTCAATTCACGAATTTGTGTGGCATTGTTACCAGCGCTCAAAGCTTTCAACGATCTTCCAACATTGAACCTTGACCAATCCCCGGGATGCTCGGTACCAACGTCTGCATCCTGGAATGTTCGGCGGTTCTTATTGGCTGATGCACGTGGTTGGAATGCTCTGGGATGATTATCTCGGTGGATTGGGACTATGTCACTGGTTGTAGTTAGGAATGGGGTCAGGTCGATATCTGGGCTCGGATGGGAAATGGTTATCAAGGGATTAGCAATGCCTGGCAGTAAACCATTCGGGTTTTCCATGTCTGACCAATTTACTGCTAACTCCAATTGATACCATCGTTGGTTAGTCCTGGCCCAAGTAGTTCGATACTTATGGTCTTCATGTTCTTGCCTTGGTACAGCAAACTCACTTGATCGGTCATGCACTACGGCTGGGTTGCCGTTGCACGCAACAGTCCAAGAGCGATACTTACCAAGTCGGATGATCTCTGGCGGAGGCTCTTGTGGTATTCTTCCATCGTGCGTGACACTGCTACCAGTGGCCCTAGCTTCATCCAATGCACCAAGATCGGTTCCATCTGCAAGCTGGGGTTGCAGATCTGCAGCAACCGATGCTGACGCTGGCCTGTCTGGTGGTCTCGGATGTCGGCCAGTACGTGGGACACCTGTTCTGTGGGCTATCACGGCATGTTTACAGTTTTCTGAATGGGTGTGTGACGGATGGCCATACGGTTTATGTTGTTTACAACCTGGACAACCCCATACTACCGGTTTAACATCTGGCCACATGCATTCACCTCGGACCCGCGAGTGTCGTGGATCTGTCTTGCTTTGGCGTCCACGGCACCCTGGGCACTTTCTCCAAGATTCATCGGCTCGGGCTTCGTCATCAGCAGAAGTATTAGTGCTACGAGTAGGGAATGCAAAATGCTCAGGGTCTATAGAGGTTTCCAAGTGCAACTTCAACATGATGATTCCTTCACACACTTTTCTAGCCATGGCCCAAGGCCACTTTTCGCAGCTTTTGGCGTTACCGCTGTCCAAAGTGTCATGCTGGTGACTTCGGTCACACCAGACATCTCTAAATGGCTCAAGTAGCTTGGAGTGATTTGCAATCAAGTCTGTGGGTTTC